TCCTTTGTCAGCTAAAATGTAAACACCAGCAGGCAAATGAAGATTTTGACCAGTTCCTATGGAAGGCATGTTGGCCACTGTCGTTGTTATGACCCAAGAACCCCGACTGAATAAAGACAATATTGGCTTTGTTGTCCATGATAATTTGAGTGGGAAAGTTATGGTATCTAGAGTGTCCACTGTAAAAATCCTGCTGAGGCTCAGTTTGTGGTCTTTGTATTTGATGACGAGTTCCATCAATGACTGCTACAGCACCTGGAAACATGTCCCACTCATTTGCTATGGCCAACCATTCTTCTTCCGTACGCCATTTTACAAAACTTTTAAAGTAACTCCACAAAACAGGAAGTAAAAATCTTATCTCTCTTTCAACCGTCACTGGACTAACCATGAACAATCCGCTAAGCATGACAAGTTCAGGATACATTCGAAGCCAGATGATAAACATGAGTATCCGATTTCGAATATCAAGTGAAAAGGGGTTGTCACGAATCCTTAGTCTCCGACGACGGGTGAACATTTGTAAATGTGGTGTCACATCATTAACTATTCGTCGAAAGGATTCGATGCTTTCTCCAGTCAAGCTCCAAAATAAATGCTCGCCAGTTTCCAATTCTTCGAAAAAGTTTCTCTCACGGAAATTAGAATGGACAAAGTTGGGGTGCAGTGTATGTTCCACTCGCGGTCTGGGTATATGTATATGCCCGCATGTAGCTGCCAGTGCCAGTAAATCGTTAAGCGACCGAGAAAGATGAGTGAAAGAACGAAGAAGTGATTGGATTGACTCCTTATTCCTAATCACGTCGTATTCCTCTTGCGCTGCTGCTTGAAGAGTCGGCAAATATACTGATGTTAAACACATAACAACATTATTCAAATGTATTAAGGCTATATTCAGAACTTGCATTTCATTTGCCATCTTTAGTAATTTACCAAAGTTGTTTGTTTGTAATACCCCAAAAAAGCGCACAAAAAAATCCTGTTGATAAAATCTGAATATACATAAATAAAACCCCTATTGTTTGCGAACCCTATACTTTATTTAATCAATAACAATGACCCTGTGGACAATTGTGCTGTTAGGATACGATTAAAAACCTCATATATTCCATATTCCCTATATTTGTGTTAATAAGCAAAGACAAAGTGGTGTTTATAAAAAAGGGTTGCCTTTCTTAGATACAAACATTGTAAAAGGGTAAAATTGTTGCCTGTAAGAAAAAGCTAAATTACACATTGTCACGATATTATGAGGTGACGTCACGACGCAATTTTGATGGACAGGTGCAGCAGACGGCGTGTGCGAGACAATTACAAAGGCAGACACAATATAGTATATAGATTGTAAGCATGTAACTACATTTTCACGATTTCTCGTTGAGTTTATAAAGTATCGTAATAAACAAACACGTTACATGGTGTCAGGAGTGGGATATTTGAAATAAAACAATGGTCGAGCCTCAAGGAGAAGCCCAAGCGCCACAAATGGCTCAGGCGCCACAAATATATGTAGCGCCATCGAACTTGCCACCGCCGAAATCGCTCATATTCGACGATAATTTGGCAACTACATGGAAGTCGTGGAAGAAATCATGGACACGGTACGAGATTGCAACTGGTGTACACAAACAAGAGGGAATTGTAAGAGTATCAACCTTATTAAGCGTAATCGGCGAGGACGGTGTCAAAGCGTACGACACATTTGCATGGGGAGAAGATGAGAATCAAAATGATGTCGATGTTGTCCTTCAAAAATTTGATGAGTATTGTTCACCGAGAACTCAAATAATCTATGAACGATACCGTTTTAACAATCGAAACCAAGCACCAGGAGAGAACATTGCAACCTACCTAACAGAACTGAGAACAATCGCTAGAAATTGTGCTCATAACACGATTACACCAGACGAAATTTTACGGGATCGGCTTGTTTTAGGCATTCGCGATGATCATGTCCGAGAACGTTTACTAAGGCTAAACGATCTCACCTTACAGAAAGCAGTGGACACTATCAAAGCCGCGGAACAAACACAACAACAAGTCAAGCTAATGAGCACAGGAGAGGATTGTGTAAACATGCTCAGGGGAACACAAGGAAAAGATACTGGTTTAGAAAGTAAACAATCCCGGAAGACAAAACCGCCTAGATATCCAATGCGAAACCGCCAACAGGAAGGATTGCTTAAGGAGTCTGGGAATTGTGGTATGACTCACGACGAACGAAATTGTCCAGCGTTCGGAAGAAAGTGTTTTAACTGTGATAAGATGAATCATTTTGCGCGGAAATGTCGAGGAAAAAATAACAAAGGAGCAGAAATCAACCAAACTAAGGAAGTCGATCAAAAACCCGAAGAAGATCGTTACTGTATCAGCTCTGTTTCGGACGGTGACGAGTCTAAAGCCACGCAAAGCTGTGATTAATTTGCAAATTTCGAAGCCAGAGGCGGGAAACTCGTTCAATTTCAAATAGACACTGGTTCGCAATGTGATATTCTCCCGACAAGCCTATATATACAAGTCACTGGTGACAATCAATTGCAACGCCTAAAACCCTGCAAGAAGGAAATCGTTTCATACACAGGTGAGCACCGTAAGATTACCGGAAGAGCTAAACTGCCTGTATGGTTCGGAGATCAGCAAAGAACCTTGAATTTTAATATTATCAACGGAGATTATCAACCAGTACTATCGTTAGATACAAGCATTGCTCTAGGTGTTGTCAATTTGAGTAAATGTGACATTCTGGCACTGACAATAAAGCATCCAAAGGACAAACCGCATGTTGCAGACGAGTATGCCGACGTTTTTGATGGCCTTGGCGAGATACCAGGAGCGCACACGATAACTATAGAAGACTCGGCGAAGCCAGTTATCCACGCCCCTCGACGAGTTCCAGTCGCATTAAGATCCCAAATCAAAGCCAAACTAGATGAACTAGTCGATCGAGAAGTCATTGTCCCTGTTACAGAACCCACTTGTTGGGTATCCAGCATGTTGGCAGTTGTCAAGCCGAATAAGATCCGCATATGCATCGACCCACGAGACCTTAATCGTGTTATACGACGCGAGCATTATCAACTACCTACAGTGGACGAAGTCACATCAAGATTGGCGGGTGCCAAGAAATTCACACTCTGCGATGCTAAGGACGGATTTCATCAAATCAAACTTGACACAGCCTCAAGTTATCTGACAACCTTCAACTCCCCTTTCGGACGGTACCGTTGGACTCGCATGCCCTTCGGAATCTCGAGTGCACCCGAAGTTTGGCAAAGGCGAATGCACGAGTTTGCTCAAGATCTCAATGGGGTTGAAGTCATAGCAGATGATTTCCTTATCGCGGGATTTGGAGAAACAGATGAGGAGGTCGATCGAAGCTTGGAAGCGAATGAGCGAGCGTTTTTCCAGAAATGTCGTGAGTGGAACCTAAAGCTGAATCAATCGAAGATGAAGAGATCACAGACGGAAGTCCGTTTCATGGGACACCTCATTACCGCTGACGGCCTCAAAGCTGACCCAGCAAAAGTTGAAGCAATCTTAGACATGCCAGCCCCAACTGACGTAAAAGGCCTCAAAAGATTTCTCGGGATGATAAACTATTTGGCCAAATTTTTACCTTTATTGTCGGACATGACCGAACCGCTGAGAAGACTCGAAGATAAAGACGTAGAATGGTGTTGGCTCGAACAACACCAGCAAGCGTATGACACTATCAAGAAATCGCTAGTCAAAACGCCGGTCCTAAGATACTATGATGTCAACAAGGAAGTTACTATCGAATGTGATGCTAGTGACACTGGTCTAGGAGCCGTCTTAATGCAAGACGGACAACCTGTCGTTTTTGCTTCGAGGGCGCTTACAGATACGGAAACTCGATATGCCCAAATCGAAAAAGAGTTACTTGCAATCGTGTGGGCAACAAGTAAATTTGATCAGTATATCTTGGGTCGAGAAGCTGTTACCATAGAATCAGATCATGAACCCCTAAAAGCAGTTTTTACCAAACCTATACATAGCTCACCCAAACGGTTGCAGAGAATGCTGCTGGCCCTCCAAAATTACAATCTCAACGTTCAATACAAAAAAGGCAAACTCATGTGGATATCGGATACACTGAGTCGAGCGTATCGAAACACAACTGAATCTTGGAGTCATGACACAACGGAGGTACGAGCCCTGGAAGAGATCGACCATACAGAGAATCTGTCGATTTCGCCGGATAGACTCGAGCAGTTCAAACGGGAGACAACGTCAGATAAGACCATGCAGAGCATCATCGACGCTGTAAAGAATGGTTGGCCTTTATCCAAGAGACAGTGCAGCCAGGACTTGTCACCCTTCTACGACAAAAGAAGTGAACTTGTAGTAGATAATGGACTAGTTTTCGCTGGAGAACGATTAGTAGTCCCCACATCAATGAGGAAAGCAATGTTGACGCAGATTCACCAATCTCATATTGGAATAGAAGGCTGTCTCCGAAGAGCCCGAGAAGTATTGTATTGGCCCTTAATGAACGCAGAGGTTAAGGATTTGGTTTCAAAATGCCCAACGTGCCAGGCGCATCAACCTGCACAATGTCGTGAAGAATTAAAACCATACCAACTACCATTTCGTCCCTGGGAAACGGTTAGTATGGACCTGTTTGAGCTTGGAAAACAGCACTTTGTCCTTCTCGTGGACCACTGGAGTGGATTCTTCGAGGTCCAAGAACTTACGAGAACTACCGCCGACAAAGTTATAATAGCATGCAAAGTCCAGTTTGCACGACATGGAATCCCGGACACAGTGATAACCGATAACGGACCTCAGTTTTCCGCCGCAGAATTTTCAACATTCGCAAATGATTGGCAGTTCAAACATGTAACGTCGAGCCCTCGCTACCCGCAATCAAATGGCCGGGCAGAGAATGCGGTCAAGACCTGCAAAATCCTGTTGACAAAAGCCAAAGCTGCTGGTCAAGACCCATTGCTGGCGATTTTAGATTGGAGGAATACCCCACAGAGGGTTTGGGAACATCTCCTGCCCAACGGTTGATGGGGCGGCGTACGCGAACACTACTACCGACTCACAAAAATCTTCTCAAACAGCCAATCAGTGAAAGCACAAGAGATAAACTAGTTGCTCGGAAATCGCGACAAATTCACCATTATAACAAGACACACCAACCTCTTCAACCATTGAAGAAAGGTCAAGCTATCCGAATGAAATTGCCAAACGCAACAAAATGGACGCTTGGAACTTGTACCAGGGTTTTAGACAACAGATCATACGAAGTAGATGTGAGCGGTAGGAAGTACCGCCGAAATCGCCGACAACTACGAGCATCGCAAGAAAGACCTCCAACACCACCTGTTGCTGGGAGTGATCCTGAGTTTGAACCTGAGCAGAGCAGAAGGGAACCAGAGAACCGTTTGGTGGAGAATGAAGCTAACCCCGAACACACACCATCATTAGACAGTGCACCCTCGGCTGAGAACAGCGAAAAACCACCACGACGCTCAGAACGCGTAAGATGCAAACCTGGGTGGCACAAGGAATATGTAATGGAATGAACTGAAAGCATTGGACAATTCGAACTTGAAGTACCTTAGTAAGATTGTATACATATCTATTCCATAATTTATATTTTGTTTTGTTTTGTCGAAAAAGAAAAGGGAAAGATGTCACGATATTATGAGGTGACGTCACGACGCAATTTTGATGGACAGGTGCAGCAGACGGCGTGTGCGAGACAATTACAAAGGCAGACACAATATAGTATATAGATTGTAAGCATGTAACTACATTTTCACGATTTCTCGTTGAGTTTATAAAGTATCGTAATAAACAAACACGTTACACACATGTTATATATGCTCACCAAAATTCAATACTTTTAATCTTTGCTCAGCCTCGTACCCAGGCGCTTTAATAGTAAAAAATAATGTTGCATCCAGTTATTGTATAGATTTTAAAAATGTTATAGGTTGATTAATATTATGTTACAAATTATATCCGATAAGTATCATGGAATCAATTTACTTTTAAATTCAAGTTGTTGCCATATCGCGTTGAATTCATCATCGGATTATTAAACCTGTAAACAAATAAATATGAGTTTATCTTTCATGTCATAATCAGAAACCTCTTAATATGTTGTAAATGCGCTCGCTTTTCCCAATAGTAATATGTAAATACGGCAGGTATTATTCGAGTACTCTACGAATATAGTCACTCCGACGGAAAATATTTAAATAAAAGTACCTTCAGATGATTCTTCGCCAAAGGAAACGTTCATAATACTTGGCTAGCCCGTAGACAGTCGATCCAGTAAAAAAATTATAAATAATGAGAATAAAAACTGCAAAATACAAACGTTTGCCAGAAATCGGTCACAATTTGCCAGAAATCGGTCATTTTCTGCCAGGCGCTTCCTCGAAAAAAACAACCTCCCCAAGCACCCCCGCGCGCTCGCGTTTTTTCAGCTGAACTCTATATAAGACCTGAATGCAACGTTATATATTTTAGTATATAAAATATACTAAAATATAATAATATATATATATATAATATATAATGCAACGTTTGCATTAATATATAATGCAACGTTTTATATTTTAGCGCCTGGGTACGAGGCTGATCTTTGCTGTCATTATTCACGCATTCTAGCGCTTAGCCCAGTGCTACAGGGTTGTAGAACTTCTAACAATAGGCTAGTTTAATGACTCCGGATTCTTTACTTGTTTTTGAAAAAAAACACGTATTTATAAATTGGCTATGTATACTGATATCCATGCTTAAACAGCTGTGCTTATTTTGATTTGATCACATAACAAAAGCCAACCTCTGGGGAATGAGGATTTCACAATTCTTTCGTCGCGTTAATGATATTAATGATATTGTTACGCAAAGCTTTATTGTGTTTAGAGATATGCATATAAAAATAGCTGTAAAAATAGGAATATCAAGAGCATGATAGGGATTAGTGAATGATTTTTGCCACAAGACGCCTGAGTAAATATAATTTTCGGCCATTAACAAACATTAATCGCCTTTCCCTTTCATGTATGACATATCGTGGGGTTAAATAAGTAATAAGGTGAAAATAATTATAATCCTCTCAGAACTAATACCTGGATAAACAGTCTTAAGTCTTCACTTATCTTAATGGTCGCATTCTTTAAAAAAGTGTGCGTGCTGTAGGCCATTCAAGTTCTTATGTCAATCAATTGTGTTAAAAATGTTGCTCGGTCAAGCATGTAATAGATTACGTCATCAAAAGTTCAATTCGATAAAATAAGAGTGAAAATTGTTTAAGTTGAAAGATATTGTTCACAGACGTATTGTTTGTAAATTTTACTAGTTGTTGATGATAAACATTTTAAGTTGTGAACATTTTTAAGTATTGATCGATTGAGCAGAAGACCAACTCGACTAGTGCGACAACGCCTTAAACAAACAAGATATGAGAGCTGAAACGAGCTTCTAAGACCAACCCACATTTCTAATTTACTACGCTGATTGGTTGGATAAGGATCAGCCCACTCTGGCTGATGACGTCTGCAAGTTTCCCTCAACCGTTACTATAAAAGGGCGTGCACAACACCCCAACCTTCAATCAGCGGCGTAGCCAGAACGATAATTGGGGGGGTCCATATTCATATATTCGTGATACGCAGGATTAATTTCTTTTCAAATCAATTGTCTTTACGGTCTGTTTACATGAATATATGAATATGGACCCCCCCAATTATCGATGCTGGCTACGCCAGTGCCTTCAATGGACTAGCGGAGTAAAAAAGACGTTCTTTGTAACTCAACTCTCCTCTTTTTGTCATCATGATCCATCTCGTCGCCCGACGTTGCACTTTTTCAACCTGCTTTGAGAGTTGAATGTTATTTACGGGCGACCAAACTTCCGTTCCGTAGCATAGTTGAGATTTTACATGAGTCAGATAAAGAGTACGCCTAGCTTTCATGTCTGTCAGTTGGGTACAAGTTCGTTTCAGTACACCTAACATTTTGTTCGCCTTGGAAATGACAGAATTGATTAAAAGTTCCCATGAAAGTACTGAGGACGTGATGATACCAAGATCCTTTTCACTGTCAACTCGAATCAGACTTTCTGTTCTCAGTTTATAATCATAAGTGATAGGATTTTTCTTCCGTGTAATAGTGAGTACTTTGCATTTAGAAGTATTGAAACTGATGTTGTTATTTACACCCCAGCAATTCAGATTTATTAACGATTGTTGTAAACATTTGCAGTCGTCAGTAGAAGTAATTGTGCTGTGCAATTTAGCGTCGTCAGCATACAGAGCTGTTTCAGTTCCGTTTTGTACAACATCTGAAAGATCGTTAATGAAGATGAGAAACAATAACGGGCCGAGAATACTTCCTTGGGGTACTCCAGATGTTACTGCTGTCCATGTCGAGGCCACACCATTTATAACGACTCTCTGAGTCCTACCATTTAAATAGTTTGCGAACCAACCCAGAATTGGCCCTGAAACACCGTAACCATGTAGTTTCTCGAGAACGATTGCATGATCCACGGAATCGAAAGCCTTAGCGAAATCGAGATATAAGACGTCAGTCTGAGTATTCTTATCTAGATTATGTCCAATAATGTGGAGTACTGATAGCAGTTGGGTCACACACGAGCGTTTTCGAAGAAAACCATGCTGAGCTTGGCTAATGTGATGTAGAATGTGGTCGTGAAATCTAAAGTACACACAGCGTTCCAAGACTTTACTGACGATTGATAATAATGAAATGGGCTGATAGATTTCCGCTGGCTTCTTCGAATCTTTCTTATGGATCGGTGCAACGTCTGCTGATTTCCACTCAGAAGGAATCGAACTAGATTGTAGAGAGAGGTTGAAGAGAGAACAAAGACTCGGGGCGATTTGTTGGCTGCATTCTTGTAAAAGACGCGCAGGAATTCCATCGGGACAACTTGCTTTGGATGTATCAAGATTTTCCAGACTTTCGTTTAGTCACAGAATACCTATCAGAAGTAGAACTCCTGTACTTTTTTCGTAAGTGTGATTCGTCATGATTGGTCACTTAGCAAGTGCATTTTTTTGAGGTAGTCACCCCCCTGCCAAAATTTAGCAATATCGCGCGCGCCATATTGCTCATGACTGCCTCAAAAAAATGCACTTGCTAAGTGACGAATCATGACGAATCACACTTACGAAAAAATAGTATAGAGTTATTCTTCTGATAGGTATTCTGTTTTGATGTTTTGAAGCTTTAGCTATAGAAAAGTTTAACACTCACTTAAACTGCAACATAATGCAGCAGGCAAACAGGTGATTTCTGTTCACCTTTACGATTGTCTTTGTTTCCGAAAAATTTGTACGAGCTATTTCATAACATAAGCGTAGAAAGTTAGGTCTAGGTAGCGCACGAAATATTTTGCTTCGTTTAAAATGGCGAGGGGTTGCTGCATGCATGTATTTCTAGTTAAAAATACAAAACAATCGCACCGTAACCATTAGCTTCACTTGGCCCGCATATAACCAACTTATGTAAAAACAGTGCTTTAGAGCACTTAATATCTGATGGGATATGTTACAAGCTACGAGTAAGATGGTAATGTCTGTAAAGATACAGTGTGTCAGATGGAAGAAAATTTATCATGAACATTACACTGAACTCATCAGTTTAAATTGTTATTTCATTTGAGATCCTACCAAAAGGTATTAAGTCTCGTCAAAGATCTTTCCAAAAAAGGATAAAGTAAAATAAAAAACTGTTGGCTTTCACCGCAAGAACTGGTGGTGTAGTGGTGAAGATGGTGATCTGCCAAGTATACAGTCAATGGTTCAAGCCCTGGACAAACCGAAAAAGAACAACAAGGTAATTAGGTGAGAATTTGTAAATGTGAGAGGAGTAGAGCGAGAGGGCGAATATGCCCTCGCCAAAGGCGAGGAGTAGACAGAGGGGAGTTGTCTTTCCCCCGTCTTTCCTCACTTTCAACGTAAGCTTTCTTCAAAAATTTGATTGTGTAAGGGGATAGTTTGGGATATCTAAGGATAAGAAAGAGTAGGGATAGATAGGAGTAAATAGGAGGATAAATAGGGGTAAAGAGGTTTAAATGAGTACAAAAAGACTTAAACATTTTATATACTGTTTTCTCACCTATACCCTCCCCCTGCTCCCGGGAGCCGAGGCCGCCCAATTACTAAGTCTTTTTGTACTCATATACCCCTCATTCACCCTACTTATCCCCTGATTTCCCTAAAGATTAACTTTTATTTCCAAAGATTATTCGAGTATAAACCCGAACAACAAACCAACCCTTTTCTTTCTTTCCGCCATGAGAAACGTACCATTCTGTTCGTGATACCACGATCTTGTACTTGAAAGTGCACGACTTTACCCCAAGGCTAACTGGCGATTGTTGAAAGCCTACACAAACTTATTCGCCATAACCTTACCATGTAATATTTATAACGAAAATTTCCATCTAAAACCAGATTCGAACCTCCGACTTTCGACTCATGAAACCTACATCTTCACCATTACACTACAATTTCTTCTGCTGAAAGGCTACGTTTATCTAATTTACTTTATCCTTTTCACGATCAAGTTCATAATAAAAAATGGTTATGATAGGATTCGAACCATCGATTTAACACTTGGGTGACCATAGTCTTAACCACTAGACTACAAGAACTTGGGCTGAAAGGCTATGGTGATTTAATTTTCTTTAACCTTTTCACAAAGTTCATATTGAAAAACGGTCATCGTAGTATTCGAACCATCGATTTACCACTTAGGAGGCCATTGTTTTCACCACTAGACTACAAGATCATGTGCTGAACAGCTAAAATT